AATAGGATTTTTCATGGAACTTGAAATTGCTGTGTTAAGTGCTGTTGAGTTAGTTCTGACTCATAGTGACCCTGTATGGCAGGGGTGGGGAACGTCCGGCCTGCCAACTATATGTTGTTGTTGTTATGTGCCGTGGAGTCAGTTTCGATTCATAATGACCTCAGCACAGGGTTTCCAAGGCTGTTAATCTTTACGGGAGCAGAACGCCTCATCTTTCTCCTTCAGAGCAGTTGGTAGTTTCGAACTGCTGACATTGTGATTCGCAGCCCGATTCGTAACCACTACGCTACCAGAGCTCCTTATATATAAGTCTCTTGAAATCATTTGGTCTGGCCCTCTTAAGGCAACTGTAGTTCCAGCCATCACATTAGGAGTGAGTTAGTTAAATGTTTGATCAAATATAGCAGGCTAATTTTTTTTTAATGTTTTATTGTGAATTATGTGATAGTTTACATGGGAGAACATTAGTTTTACATTCATCCTATCGTATATCATTTCATTGCCATGGCTACAATCCTCTCTATGCATCATTAACCAACCAAAGGGTATACCCTACAAGCCCGGCAGGCTAATTTTTAAGTTGATAATTTTATATGGCCCACGAATGATGTTATAAATATCCAAATGGCCCTTGACAGATAAAAGGTTCCCCACCCCTGCTGTGCGGGGGTTTCCAAGGAGCAGCTGGTGGGCTTGAACAGCTGACCTTGAGGTGAGCAGGTCAGTGTTTATCCTACAATGTCACACCAGGAACTTGAAAAGCAGCTGCTAAAATCCATCCAGCAGAGAAAATTTGCCAGAATAGTAAACACACATTTGAAACTCAACTGGGGAAGATGTCTTTGTTTTTCAGTACTGCTCTAACAAAACTATCACAAGTTAATGTTTTTAACAAACAGAAATGCATTCTCTCCCACTTTAGGAGGCCAGATGCCCTAATTCACAGTAGTGGCTTTTGGGTAAGGCTTTCTGTCTTTGTCAGCTCTGGGAAAAAGGTCTTCGTCTCCTTTTCTCATCTTTAGGTCCAGCATTTGGATCTCTCCATGTGTCTTTGCATTAGTCTTTCTCTGAATCTAGGAACTTCTCAACACAGGGATCCCAGATCCAAAGGATTCATTCCTGGCTCTTCTTTCTTGGTGGTACTAGGTCCCTCTGAGCTCTGCTTGCTTGTTTAATCTCTTTATATCTCAAAGAAGCTTGATACAACCTAATCTTGTAGATTACATCCAGCCTCATTAAGGTCATAGAAGTGAGGATTCACAGCACATAGGATAATTAATCATATCAGGACTGGTCACTTCATATTACATCATGGGGGCGCGGGGATGCGTTACATCATATTAGATATCCTTCGTGGAGGTGATTACCGCCCTACTCAAGTTGATATTCTGCCCTACTCAAGTTGATACAATGCCTTAACTATCACAAGAAGGGAGGGGTGGAGGAGGACTAGACTTATGTGATGTCAAAGCAAGAAACAGATAAAAAAAAAAAAAAAATGGAATACAATAAGAATGCCAGAAACAGACTTGTTTATATATGGAATTTGGAACATGATAAGTGTAGAATATCAAAACAGTAGGGGAAAGATTTTTTTTTTTCTCTCAAATAAATGGAATTAGGCTACAATTGATTACAACGATGGTGCGCTCCTACTTTAGTACATCTTCAAAAATAAATTCCTATGGATTAAAGAGAGACACAAAATTAAAACTAGGAAGATATTAAAAGAAATTGAAGGAATATATGTTTATGACCCACTCCCCGGTCATGTTTAAAGAGGCTACAAGAGGCTTCTTTTTTAAAAAATTGTGTTTTATGTAGAAGTGAACACAGTAAATTAGGCTCCCATTTGACAATTTCTACACAAGGAGCTCTGGTAGCGTAGTGGTTACGAATCGGGCTGTGAACCGCAAGGTCAGCAGTTCGAAACTACCAGCGGTTCCACGGGAGAAAGAGGAGGCGTTCTACTCCCGTAAAGATTTACAGCCTCGGAAACCCTGTGCAGGGTCGCTATGAGTCGGAACCGACTCCACGGCACATAACAACAACAACAACACAGATTGTTCAGCAACATTAGTTAAATTGTTTACAATGTGTCAACATTCATTGTCTTCTGGTTGTTTCCTTTCAAGTACTCTAGTTTCCCTACCCCCTTATTTTCTCATCAAAAGTTTTTTCTTGACCTATTGGTCTGATATAAATATTTTTTTTCAATGGAGCACTATACTCATGGGTAATATTTACTACAGATAATACCATTTATTTGTGTGCCATTTTGTTATTTATTTTGCTAGAAGGGAACCTCAGGGTATAATTTCAGTTCAAGGGTTAAAGAGTATCTCAGGGGTTCTTGGGCCCAGAGTCAGTGACATAGCCACAGAGGACTAGAGTAGAGAGTGAAGCATCCCCCTGATGAGAAGAGAGGGCATATGCACAAGAACACCCATACTTGCTGATAATACCCACTTGACCTGGCTTCAATGACTGGATGATCAGAGCTCAACTAGAAGAGGAAAAAAAAAAGAGTAATCTGATACAATTTGATGAACTTGACCTACACCTATGGATGAAGTAGCTCAAAACAGGGAACAAATTTTTATAGCAAGGATCATTCCCACCCCCACAGTACACAGAGTAGACAGGGATGGGCAACTTGGACATTGGCTACCCAAAATTGGGGGTGGGGGGCTACAAAGGCAAGAAGTGACTGGCTTACAAGCTTTCAAGAGGGAACCTAGATCTAGAGGGTATGGAAGAAGGTAGAATCTCCCTGAGTGGTATCTAATTTGTCTGGGTGGGGCTGATGAAAGGAGATGCGGATAGGTCTCTTGTGATTCAATAGTGAATAATTGTTATCAGGACTGATTGTGAGGGTTGGAAATGTAAAGGTAGACGTTTTGTAGCAAAAGGAGGGGAGTGATTGACTTTGCAGTCTAGGAGTGGAGGTCCCTGGGACCATGAAGGGAGAAGAGCGGAGAGCTGGACCTTACCCAGAGAAGCAGTGATGCAGAGATGGAGGCAGAGACGATGACATGGAGAGATGGAGCAGCTGGGGACTTTAGATCCAGAGAGGGAGAGGGGCTGTGTGCTGACCATGGGGGGTAGGGGGGGTGAAGAGGGCAGGCTTGCAGGTCATACCCTTTGGTTGGTTGATGATGCATGGAGGGGATTGTAACCATGGCAATGAAACTATATACAATAGGATGAATGTAAAGCTAATGTTCTCCCATGTAAACTATCACATAATTCACAATAAAACATTGAAAATAAAAAAGAAAGAGTATCTCAGGGTAATGGTCTCAGTGAATCCTCTAGTTTTAACTAGCTCAGTCAGTCTGGACTTGTAAAGAATTTGAGTTCTGTTTTTGTCCTGTTCCTATCAGAATCCATCTCTTATGGCCCCAGATTGTTATGGTTGCTAGGTGCCGTCGAGTTGGTACCAACTCATAGCAACCCTATATACAACAGAAACACTGACGAGCTCTGCGCCAACCTCACAATCGTTGCTATGCCCGTTGTGACTGTCACTGTGCCAATCCAGGCCTCTTAAAAAAAGGAAACGGCAGGACAGATGAAATTGACAAATAGGTGCAAATAAACACTCAGAACTTCCTTGTGACAAAAATAAACTAAAAACACAAAGTACAAACTAGGAGGAAGTAATTTGTGACATATGTAACTGACGAAGAATTTGAATCCGGAATTCATAAAGTACTCCTGCACATTAATAGCAATAATAAAAAATAAAAGGCACACAACCTCTTTTTTTTTTTTTTTTTAATAGGCAAAGGATATGAGCAAGCAATTCACAGAAGATAAAATATTAGAGCAATAAATTCATAAAAAAGATGTTCCCTCTCCTTAGTAATCAGAGAGTTGCAAGTTAGAACAGTGTGATACAATTTTTTTCAGGAAATGACTAATACTAACTCATCAGCCAGGTCTCTGCTCAGATGTCCTTTCCTCTAGAAAGCTCTTGCTGACCCCAAGCTGGGTCAGGCGCCCCCGCAGGGTCCTGAAGTTCTCTGGGCTCCCCCAGCCCAGCCCCTGCGCACTCTAGGACGTCACTGTTTGGGGATATATCCGTCTCTCCCACTAGACGGTGAGCCCTGGGTGCGAGCTTTGGTACAGAGGAAGTTCTTAGGGGAATGTGTTTGGAATAAATGAATGAATGGGGCAACTGAGGCCAAGTCGATGACAGAGCCGGGATTCAAACCCATCTCTCTTGTTCTGAAAGAAAGGATCTAGTTTGATCTCCCGCCACTTCCACGTCACTGCGGCCTGCCCAATACACACAAACGACAATAACAACATTAAAATTGACCAGAGCCTATGGACCAAAGACCTACTCTTAATATCACCGCAGTCCTCCAGGACCATAGAGAGTTGCGCAGGGACCGCCCCTTTCCATGCTTAATCGGTCCAGGGAGCAGTGAGTGCGGGCTCGAGGGCCAGAGAGGCCGGAAGTGTGGTGAGTCAAGGGCCGCGCTGGCCGCCCGGCGGAGGAACCTCTCGATTTCTCTCGTTATTTACCGCCGACCTCCAGATTAGGAGGTGAGTCTCCGCCGCGCTGAAATCGTGAGGCTGGGGAGGGAGGTGGAGGCTGCAGAGTGAGGATTGATGGCCTCGGAAGTCAATCGCTGCACTGTTTGAGAAATGACAAGACGGGGCTTGGGGAGAACATCCAGGTGCGGGGTAACAACCCGGTGAAGCCTGTGAGAGGCCAACCGAATGGAAGGCGAGGGACTGTAGGGAATGGCTAGCGAATAGACTTTTTGGGCCTTCGAGGGGCGGGGAGAATAGGACCTGTAGTCCCCTTTGGGGCGGGACAAACAGGTGGGCGGGGCTTTATTGAACCTCGGTGTTTGGGTCTTGACTCTGAAACCCTGGGATTTAGGGAAGTAAGGGACGGCTGTCTGTAGGGGTTCTCTTCTGGGGAGTGGGAGGGTAGACTCTAAGGTCTCATTCTCTCCCGCCGACGCATCATCCCTCTCAGGTCCCAAATGGACCCAGGGAAGGAAGAGGAGAAGGTGCCGCAGCCCCTAGGGCTGCACCAAAAGAAGAAATTCGTTATACCACTGGACGAGGATGAGGTCCCCCCTGCAGGGGTAAGATAAGGAGTTGGGGGACCACTGGGAGGCAGGGTGGGAGGCAAAGGGAGATCTATAGATCTATAGAGATTAGGAGATATTAGGGCCTGGGCCGCCCTGAGCAAGCAATCCTTTGCTCTGTCTAGACCTCAGTTTCTTCATCTGTAAAATGGCAGGGTAGGTCTAAAAAAGGACTAAGGCAAAGGTCACAAACTGGCAGCCAGTGGGTGGCCCCAGGGTTGTCTTTATGTAGCCAGTGCTGTGATGTTGCTGACATTTAAAAACTGGAAGGTTGGGCAATTTCAAAAGAAAATTCTGTACTTCTGGCATCTTTTGGTAAATTGAAGGCTCTGGCAACACTGAGGTCTTATTCCCACAGGAATACATTCTGCTGGAGCTGAGTTTTAGGGGCCACCTGTAGGCCATGGAGAAAAAAGAAAATGACCTAAGGCTGGAGAATGTGATAGGGTAGATGGGGCACCTTAGACAGGAAGGTGACCATTTGGCAGAAGCATGAAGGAGGTGAAGGGATGAGCCAGGCAGACATCTGGGAGGAGAAGGAATAGCCAGTGCAAAGGCCCTGAGGTTGGCGTGCCTAACAAGTCTGAGGATGGCAAGCAAGCCAGTGGGGCTATAGTGGAGAAAACAAGGGGGGTATGTAGGAGGTGAGGTCCCAGAGGGTCTTCTAGAGCCTTCTGGGACATTGTGACCATTTTTGGCTTTTACTCTGAGGCCAGAACCATGGTTCTGAACTGAGGAGGGAATTTAATCTGGATCGCAGGCAGGGACAGGGGTAGAGACAGGGAACTTGGTGAAGGGGAGACTGCAGCAGTCCAGTCAAGAGATGATGGTGATTGAGATGGAGTCGAAGCTGAGGGAGAAGGGGCCGGACTCAAGTGTTGGATTCTCAGCTCTTACATGGCTTTACTTCTGGAAGGTGCGATTGGAGGCGAGCCAATTCTGATGAGAAGAAAGGGGCTCCTACATCCCTTCCCAGACCCTAAACACTCCTCCCCCCACCTCCGCGATTCACCTGTGTACCCACAGGCCAAGCCCTTGTTCAGATCTACACGGAGCCTTACCACTGTGGAGACCTCAGCCCAAGTGGGCCCTCAGACCTATGCTGAATATGCCATCTCAGAGCCTCCAGAAGGGACTGCAGCTAAGTGCCCCAAAGGGCCAGACCCCCCAGCAGGAGAGACCCCCAACCAGGCCCCCAAACCAGGACCAAAATCCAACAGCATCATTGTAAGCCCTCGACAGGTGAGGAGGGGAATGGAGAAGTGGGGCTTTGTGGGAAACACGGTGTAGTTGGTTCAGGTCGGGATATGTGATTTCTAGCTATTTAGCTAATGCAATGACATTCATTCATTCATGCAACGACTGTGTAGGGATTAAAGGTGCCCTAACTGTTCTTGTGGGGGATGGATTGTGTACAGCTACATTTCCTGTCTTTAAAACTATTAAACACAGATCAGAGTTTGAATCCCTGCTGTGACACACAATAGCTGTGTGATCTTGGGTAAGTGAATGAACCCAGCTGTACCTTAGTTTGGTCATCTTAAAGTAGAGACTCATCCATTTATTTTATCCACAAATGTTTACAGAGGGTTCTAGGCTCTTGGCGGTAAAATGAATGAAAGCAAACAGATAAATCCCTGCCATGGTTGGAGCTGGTATTCTAGTGGAAGGAAGAGGCAATGTACAAAGATTATATATAGGGACTCATACCAAGTCCTGATGTGGCGCTGTGGGGTTAATGCGCTGGAGTGGTCACTTGAACTAAAAGGTTGGTAGTTCAAACCCACCAGCTGCTCCTCGGAAACCCTCACTATGAGTAGGAACCAGTTGGACGACACTTAACAACAACAAAGCACATGAAAAAATTCTCAGTCTTTTTCAGCAGGGAAATGCAAACCAAAACCATTTCACACCAACTAAGTTGGCGGGTCAAGCTCACCAGCTGCTTCTCGGAAACCCTATACAGGGTCGCTATGGGTCGGAACCGACTTGACGGCACTTAATAACAACAAGATGGCTAGAATGAAAAAGTCAGACAATGCAAATGCTGGCAAGGCTATGGAGAAATTGCAACCCTCATGCATTGCTGGCGTTGTTAAGTGCTGTTGAGTCGGTTCCGACCCATAGCGACCCTGTATAAGGTTTTAGAGGAGTGGCTGGTAGGTTTGAACCACTGACCCTGCCATTAGCAGTCCAGTGCTTATCTTATAGCGCCCCACAAGGACTTTGCTTATTAGAAAGTAAAGTGGGGCAGTGGCTTTGGAAAACAGTCTGCAGCTCCTTAAAGGGTTGAACATAATGTTTACCCAGCATGTTGTTTTGTTGTTAAGTGTCGCTGAATCGGTTCTGACCCATAGTGACCCTGTCTGTATAGGTTTCTGAGGAGCAGCTGGTGGGTTTGAACTGCTGATTTTGTGGTTTGCAGTCCAGGGCTGATCCTACAGTGCTACACCAGGAGTCTCACAAGCATATAACTTAGCAATTCTATTCCTAAGTGTATATCCAAGAGAAATCAAAATGTATGCCCACACAAAAATGTATACCTATTTATAGCATCGTAATTCATCAAGTCCCAAAGTAGAAACAACACAATTGTCTATCAATTCTTGAATGGATAATAAAAATATGCTCTGGTAGCGTAGTGGTTACGAATCGGGCTGCGAACTGCAAGGTCAGCAGTTCGAAACTACCAGCTGTTCTGCGGGAGAAAGATGAGGCTTTCTGCTCCCGTAAAGATTTGCAGCTTCAGAAACCCTGTACAGGGTCACTATGGGTCGGAACTGACTCCATGGCACATAACCACCACCACATATCTATACAAAGGAACTCTGGTAGTGTAGTGAATTACGAGTTGGGCTCCTAACCACAAGGTCAGTAGTTCAAATCAACCAGTTGCTACTTGGAAGAAAGATGAGGCTCTTGGATCCTGTAAAGTGACCCATCCAGGGTCACTATGAGTCAGAACTGACAGAGTCACCACCATATCTATACAGGGGTCCTGCTGTAGGATAAATACTGGACTGCTAATCACAAGATCAGCAGTTCAAACCCACCAGGTATACTTGAAAACACATGAATAAAATGGAATATTAATCAACAATATAAGGGAATTAAGTACTGAGATGAGCTACAATGTGGATAAATTTTCAAATGATGATACTGAGCTAAAGAAGCCAGATAGATACAAGAGATCACCTATCATATGATTTCATTTATTTACCTTGTGTTAATAGCCATCGAGTTGGTTCCGACTCATAGCTACCCTGTATAGGGTTTCCAGGGCTGTACATTTTTGTGACAGCAGAAAGCCTCATCTTTCTCCTGCGGAGTAGCTGATGTGCTCAAACCTTGTGGTTTGTAGTCCAGTGCTTATCATACAGAGCCACCACACTCCAAATGATTTCACTGAGAATGAGCAAATCCATGGAGACAGAAGAAGGTACATCAGTGGTTGCCAAGGTAGATAGGGAGTCCGGGTGTGGCACTGTGGGTTAATGCGCCAGCCTGCAAAGCCATTTGAACTGCAAGGTCGATGGTTCGAGCTCACCAGCTGCTCCTCAGAAACGGGGTTGCTATGGGTCAGAACCGACTGGGCAGCACTTAACAACAAGGTAAATAAGACTCCTGGTGTGGTGCTGTAAGATCAGCACTGGACTGCAAACCACAAGGTTGGCAGTTCAAACCCACCAGCTGTTCCCCGGAAACCCTATACAGGTCGCTATGAGTCAGAACCAACTCAACAGAACCTACCGACAACACGGTAGATAGGGGATGGTGAGTGATTGCTAAAGGGGTATGGGGTTTCTTTTTGGGTCTATGAAATGTTCCCAAACCAGTTATGGTCATGATGGGACAAATCTGTGATGGTGACGTTTGGAACCACCTTGCAGAAAGCCATTTGGCCTTTCTTCCTGTTCCTTTGAGCCAGTTGCTGTTAAGTGGATCCCCAACATGTGCAACCCCGTACGTCTGAGCACAACTGTGCACCATAGGGTTTTTGATGGCTGTTTTTTTGGAGGGAAGTAGATTGCCAGATGTTTCTTCTGACAGGCTACTGGGTAGACTCGAACCCCAACCTTTTGGTTAGCAGCCAGGTGCATTAACCATTTGCAGCACCCAGGGACCCAATCTCTGCCTCCAGCAGCCGGCAACCCTGGGAGTTCCTGGATTTAGGGATGCAGCTGCTCTGTGTCTTTCTTCACGTGGCATCTTCTGCCTGTGTGTGTGTCTTTTTGAAACTCAGAAGTGATTAGATTTAGGATCCACCCAGCACTGGCATGGTCTCATTAACATAATCCCCCTCCAGGTGTAGGGGTTAGAATTCCAATTTCATAATATTGTGGGCCACAATTCAATCCACAGAGTCTATGTGAGGGGCTGGCTGGGCACAGTCCTGGAGCCGCTTTAGTAAATCCCTGGAGAGGGAGAGGGGTTCCAGGATCCAGGACAATCTAGGCAGAAGAGGAGGAGTCTGGGAAGAGGAGCTGGAGAGGTGGGATGGGGGACCAGCCCTGTTGACAGTTATTGCCCCCTTTCCTCCCCAGAGGGGCAATCCTGTGCTGAAGTTTGTGCGCAATGTACCCTGGGAATTTGGCGATGTGGTCCCGGACTATGTGCTGGGTCAGAGCACCTGTGCTCTCTTCCTCAGGTGAGATCTGGGGGCCACCTTACCCTCCAGGAAGGGCTTTCAACCAGGCTTGGGAGGATGGAGCTATACTGTTCTAGGCTAGCTCAGTCTAGGTACTGCTCTGTCTGGGGGAAGGAGACCTTGGCCTGAGGGAGGAGAGGGTTAGAGGAGGGGGTCTCTGGGTTCTGAGAAAGGAAGGGCTGAGAGGCCAGGACTCCTGGGTCTAAGGGAGGAACGGGTCTGGTGAGGCCATATCCAAGGCTGGGGTCAAAGAGTACCAGGATTTTTCCAACCCCAGGTAATCAAATCTGCCCCCTACCCCCAACTCCAGAGGCCCTTCTCCAGACAGGGGAAGTGTAAGTTCTCAGTTCCTGCCCCACCGTGGGGTGAGATAGAGGAGCCATCCCTGCTCCACCCTTCCAGCTCCCCGGGGGCTGTGGCAAGCATGCTGGGCCGTGCTGCTTAAGACCGGCTGTGCAGTGGCCCCCAGTCCACATTTCCTGGGGACCCCAGCTCCCGGTCTCCACCCAAAGTCAGTCTCTTCTGTTTCTTAATGAAGAACCAAGGAGCCCAACCTCAGGGAGCCAGAGCCAGGCTGCCCTTAGTTCAAATCCCTGCTGGGCCACTTCCTGGAGGGGTGGCCATGGGTCGGTCATTTACTCTCTCTCAACCTCAGATTCCTGCCTTAACTATGCTTGTGGCTGCTGACATGAGCGTTCTGATGGTGAAGGGCTTCCGCGGTTTTGGGGAGATAGTCCTACCAACCTCCATGTGCTCTGTCCCTGGCAGCCTCCGCTACCACAACCTCCACCCGGACTACATCCACGAGCGGCTGCAGAACCTGGGGAAGAACTTCGCCCTGCGGGTCCTGCTCGTCCAGGTGGACGTGGTAAGCAGGGGTCACTCCCCAGCAGACCTCACTCTTCTCATCTCTCAAATGGGGAGTTTGGGGGGTAGGGCTAGCAAAGTGGACTAAGTCACTGGTTGGCTACAATTCATGAAGACACCACATTCAACAGAACAAAACACTGCCTGGTCCCATGCCCTCCTTGCCTCTGTGCGTGGCATTAACGTCAACTCTACTTTGAAGGAGCTTTGTGCTCAGCTGTCTACCAACAGGTTGGCAGTTCGAACCCACCAGTCACTCTGTAGTAGAAAGATGCAGCAGTCTGTTTTGGCCCCAAGGGGATATAGGGTCATCGTACGTCAGTTGGAATGGACTCGACAATTGGTCCACTTTGAGGGGGCAGCTCTTCCCTAGTCATATTCCAATCTTGGGGCCTAGTTTCTGGTACTACATTGATGTGGATCCCTGGTGTGGTGCTGTAGGGTCAGCACTGGGCCTCAAGGTCGAAAATTCAAACTCACCCGCCGTTCCTTGGAAACCCTACACGGGGTCACTATGAGTTGGAACCAACTAGACAACGTTTAATCACAATATATCGATGTAGCGTGATCTATTGTGATCTTTGAGGAGTTCATTGGCTAATTTTAGAACACAGATCACCAGGCCTTTCTCCCTAGTCTTAGTCTGGAAGTACTGCTGAAACCCACCCACCACGGATGACTCTGGCACTGTTTGAAAGACCAGAGCCATAGCTTCTAGCATCATTGCAACACACAAGCCACCAGAGTACAGCAGGCTAGCTGGATGATGGATGGTGGGGTCTAGGTTACTTCCTTTTTGATTCCTTCCAAGGAGAAGAGCAGTTAAAACCTCCATATGAAACCATTTTCCGTATCTGAAATCGACACAGGCACCCATGTTGGAAGGGAGTGGGGGAGGTGGGAAGAGAAAATGACCCTTCTTCTCTTTCCCTGCACCCCCCTTCAACTAGTCTCATTCCTCCACCACCTGAATATCTCTTGAGTCTGTTTTGTCTTCTCCATCCCCACAACCCCTGCTCCATCCTGTCTGGGTTCCTCAGCCGCCTCCCTAGACTTTGGCCTCCAGCCTCAACCCTTTCTATCCTTACAGTAGCCAGAGGGTCCTACTAAAGCCTAGATGTAACACCATTCCTCGCCTGCTCAAAAACGGTTTATGACTCCCTAGTGCCCTCAGGCGGAGTCCTGGTGTGTAGTTAAAGGGTAAACACTGGATCGTAAGGTTAGTTTGAACTACAACGTTGGTGGTTCAGACTCACCAGCCACTCCTCAGAGACCCTATACAGCGTCACTGTGAGTCAGAACTGACTCGATGGCACTTAACAACAGTGCCCTCAGGAAGATGGTGCAGTGGGGTAGTTGTTAGGCTGCTAAAAGCAAAGTCATCAGCAGTTCAAACGGACCAGTGGCTCTATAGGAGATGATGCTGCCTTCTCCCATAAAGATTTACAGTCTCAGAGGTTCTTCTGTCCCACAAGGCTGTGATCAGAAAACAACTTCACAGCAGTGGGTGGTGGGTAGCACCCTCAGGATTCACCTTCCACCATGGCCTACAGGTACCAGCTCTGCAGCTTACCTGTAAGCTTCCATGCTGTCAGCGACCACTCTTGTATTTCACATCCTCCATACGGATTGAACTGTGAACCGCAAGGTCAGCAGTTCGAAACCACCAGCTGTTCCGTGGGAGAAAGATGAGGCTTTCTGCTCCCGTAAAGATTTATAGCCTCGGAAACCCTGCACAGGGTCGCTATGAGTCAGAACCGACTCCACAGCACATAACAACAACAACAACATCTCATATGGAAGGAGTCCTGGTGGCGTAGTGGGTTGTGTGTTGGGTTGCTAATCCCAAGGTCCGAAGTTCCAACCCACCAGCTGGGAGAAAGATGAGGCTGTCAACTCCCATCAAGATTTATAGCCTTTGGAAGCCTGTAGAGGGCCGCTGAGTAGGAATGAACTTGATGGCAGTGGGTATCCCATAGGGGAGCAAGCATTTGAGCCCTCAACTATTAGCTGCAGGGTTTGCAATTGGAATTCACTCAGGCACCTCAGAAGAAAGGTCCAACCTGGAAAACCCTATGGAGTGAATTTCTACAGGTGTGGGGTCACCACTGAGTCAGAAAGGGCTGGACAGCTACATCAATCCCCTGTGAAGTGAACTGCAATTCCTCAAGATCTCTTTCCCCTCCCATCATTTGTATATGCTGTTCCCTATGCATGGAATTCCCGTTCCTGCTGTCCTTGGCCTCTCTTACTCCTCATTTTTCTGGTTTCAGCTCAGGTGTCCCCTCTTCCAGGAAGCCCTCCTTGATCCCCCCCAAGACTGATTCAGCCACTCCCTGATCCTGGCCTGCCTATTCTGGGTGTGGGTCTGTCTTCTCATTGGACTGTGGGTTTCGGAGGGGCAGGGCTGGGCAGATCACTGCCATGTCCTGGCACTGCCCAACCCAATAGGGGCTCAGAATGTATGTAGAGCAAGAAGCACTCTGCCCTGTGCCTCCCAGACACTCACCCCTTGCTCTCTCTCCGTCTCTAACTCTGATGTTCTTCTCCCTTCTCAGAAAGATCCTCAGCAGGCCCTCAAGGAGCTGGCGAAGGTGTGCATCCTGGCTGACTGCACCCTGGTCCTCTCCTGGAGGTGAGATGGCGCCCTCCCCTTGCCCCTTCTCATCTTTCCATGGATTTCCTATGTGGGCCAGGCACGACCTCTCTCTCGGCCTCAATTTTCTCATCTGTAAAATGGGGTCATAATAGCTTTTCTGAGTTGCACAAATGGTTAAGCACTTGGCTATCAACAGAAAGGTTGGCAGTTTGAATCCACCCAGGGGCATCTCCAAAGGTGCCTGACCATCGACTTCTGAAAGGGCTCCGTTCTTGAAAATCCCACGGAGTGCTGGTTTTCTGTGACACACAAGTTGCCATGTTGGAATTGCCTCAGCAGCCCCTGATTTTTGTGTGTTTGTTAATAGTTCTCTTAAGGTTAAAGGCACAAAAGCAGGTGTCGAAGGCAAAATCCCCACAATTGGCCAAGGCACTTTTGAGTTGAATCTGGATGGATTAATTCATCCGCTGTCTGGGTTTCTGAAGACCATTTAGACTGGCTTTCCTTTTGGAAAAAAAAAATCCAACCCTTCCCCACACCATAAGCAAAAACCCATTCTGAGGAATTACAGCTTTGAGCAGAAAAAGAAAACCACAGTATAAATGGTGTAAGGAATCTTATGGGAGAACTTTCGTTTTCCATGATCACGGGTTAGGAAAGGTTTTCTAAAGCAAGTCACAAAACCCAGAGTCCATAAAGAAAAAGGATGACTGATTTGAGAAAACTGAAAAATGTTTAAACTTTTCAGTGATGGTAAGAGATCTGGCAAATAAAGTTATAAGACTGTTCAGTGACAAACTGAGCAGTTGAGGCCCAAGAGGTAAAATCTCTTGCCTGGTGTCGCTCAGGAGTCCTGGGGTGACGCTGTGGGATAAGCACTGGACCACAAGGTCGGTTAGAAACGGAGGGTTGGTGGTTCAAATTCACCAGCTCCTCCTTGGAAGCCCTTTATTGGGTCGCTATGAGTCGGAACTGACTTCACAGCACTTAACGGTGTCACTTAAAGGAAGCCCTGCTGGCGTAGTGGTTAAAGTGCTTGGCTGCTAACCCAGAGGCCAGCAGTTTGAACCCAGCAGCCACACAGTGGGAGAGATGAGGCAGTCTGTTTTGTTCTATGGGGCAATATGAGTTGGAATTGATTATAGCACACAATGGTATTGCCCAGTAGGAAGTGAGACCTGCCTGGACACTTACTAGCCAGAAACAAGGTGTAATGGGGTCACCAGGGACTCGTGGGGAGCGAGGGAGGAAGAACATCATTTTTCTATAGTTTAGAACTTTCAGCACCAGCAATTATAACTACTGTCATGAAACTGATCTCAGAAATGACGTCCTCCCACCCCTTGTCCTGGCTGCCCTGTATCCTCTCGCCCCAGCCCTGAGGAGGCTGGGCGGTACCTGGAGACTTACAAGGCCTACGAACAGAAGCCGGCGGACCTGCTGATGGAGAAACTAGAACAGGATTTCGTCTCCCGGGTGAGCCTGCCCAGCTCCCATCCCTGTCAGCTCTCCTCCCAGGGTGAGCCTGCCCAGCTCCCATCCCTGTCAGCTCTCCTCCCAGCTAGTGTGTGGTTGAGCTTCATTTTCGTCAATCCCCAAGTTCCGCCTCATGTCCATACCCGACTCTTCCCTCTCCTATTCCAAAACTTTCTGTGGCTCACTTGTGCCCTCTCAGCGAGATCCCAAGCTTCTCACCAGGTTCTGCCTGTCTGTCAAGTAGGAGTCCCTGAGTGACTTAAACATCTAAGTGTTTGATTTATTAATTGAAAGGTTGGAGGTTCAAACCTGCCCAGAGGTGCCTTGGAAGAAAAGCCTGGCAATCTCCTTCCAAAGCTTTTCAAGTTCAGCCTTGAAAACCCTCTGGAGCATAGTTCTCTGTCAAGGCACGGAGTTGCCGTGGGTCCAAACTGACTCAGTGGCAACTGGTGCATGTGTAGTCAGCCCCACAATGATTCTTGCCCATCCACACCTAGCTTGCTCCTCAGAGATTTTGCCCATTCTGTTCCCTCTGCCGGGTTGCATCCCTCAGCTCAGCTGGATGCCTCCTCCAGAAAGCCTTCCCTGACCTCAGCCTGGGTCAGTTGTTTCCCCTCACTGTCCTCACTGTCTGGGGATTGACCTGTCTCCCCCATTGGACTGGGAGTTGCTGCGTGTCCCAGCAGGTGCATGGGGAGTGTGGCTGAGTGAATGGTGGATGGTGGAATATGGGGTCCAGTGACATATTCATGGGGAGGGGCCTCATGGTGATGCCATTCCTGGGGGTTCTTCTGGGATGGGCTAACACCATTAGGTTCCACATCAACTGCCCTGGGGGCTCTTGCTTTGTGCAGTCCCACAGGTCAGCCGTACTTTATGGTCACTCACTGCAAAGCCTTGGTCCAAGGGAAAGTCAGGAACCAGCAGGGTAGGGAATTGAACCGAGGCCCCTTGCACAAAGTCCACATTAGCCACAGTGGGCTTGGCACCCTTCATGTTTCAGTGGATGTCCACAGCCACCCTTGAAGAGGACACTGTTATGATCCTCACTGGCTGCTAAGTGGAAGTTCAAGTCCAGTCAGAGATACCTCAGAAGAAAGGCCTGGCTGGCAGTCTGCTTCTAGAAAAAACAGCCACTGAAAACCCCATGGCAACTGGTTTGGGTTATTTTCCCAAAAGCAGAGGTCCCGAGAGGTCAGCTTCCATGCCCTGCATCTTACAGGGAACATGTGTGTGGTTTTAAACCCAGGTCCGACCCTGAGGCTCTCTTCCCCTGGTTAGAACCAGCACCTCGGTAGCAACAGTATTTCATGTTACATACATGCCCTCAGCTGGCTCTTGGGGGGTTCAGGGGATACCGCTATTTACTGGGTGCCTTTTGCATGCTGAAGAGTTTTGGTGGTGCAGAGGGTTAAGCAGCAGGCTGCTAAACAAAAGATCATTGGTTTAAATCCACCAGCTGCTCCGCAGCAGAAAGGCAAGACAGTCTGCTTCCGTAAAGATTGTTATTGTTGTGAAGTGCCGTCAAGTCGGTTCCGACCCATAGCGACCCTGTATAGGGTTTCCAAGGAGCAGTCGGTGAGCTTGAACCACTGACCTTGCAGTTCAGATGACTTTGCAGTCTGACGCATTAGCCCCCACAGTGCCACACCAGGAGTCCACCATAAAGATTGTTGTTGTTAAGTGCCGTCAAGTTGGTTCCTACCCAAAGCAATCCTGTATAGGGTTTCTAAGGAGCAGCTGGTGAGCTTGAACTGCCAACCTTGCAGTTCAAAGGGCTTTGCGGTCTGGCGCATTAACTCACAGCGCCACACCAGGGCTCCTGAAAATTACAGCCTTGGAACCCTGGGGAGCAGCTCGACTCTGTCCTAGAGGGTGGCTAGGACTTAGCAGTGGGTTTGGTTCGGTTTTCTTCCAGCTGGGCAGTTAGCCCTGACCCTTGGGCTCAGTCTCTGTTCTTCCTTCCTTTCTTCCCCACCTGCATCTTCCCCCCACCCGTTCCAGGTGACTGAATGTCTGACCACCGTGAAGTCAGTCAACAAAACAGACAGTCAGACCCTCCTGGCCACATTCGGGGTAAGAGGGGATTCATCTGCCCCATAGGTATTTCTAGCCCCTGGTCTTTTCTAGGAGGCCCCTCCAATTTCCCTCCCACCCCTTAGAAATACCTTAGTCTTCCCCCCATCAGCTGGGACGGGGCAGAATTCTGACCCCTTGTTCACACCTCCCTTAGTCTCTGGACCAGCTCATGGCTGCCTCAAGGGAAGATCTGGCTCTGTGCCCAGGCCTGGGGCCCCAGAAGGTGAGTGCTGGGAATGGGCTTGAGGAGTTGGGTAGAAGGGATGGAAAATACATGGGACTTTAGATCCCCAAGTCCTAAGGCTCTGGATAGCCCAGATGGGGAAAACTGAGGCCCAGGGAGTTTAGAGGGAGGAGACAGCTCAAACTCACACTGCCAGTCTGGGATGGACACCACCAGTCCAAGGGCTAGTTCTGTTAGCCCCAGGACCCCTTGGAACTGGGAGAAAACAAATGATGTTAACACAGTCCCGCTCTCCACCTGGATCAAAGAAATGGCTCCTTTAATGACGAGTTCTCGGTCTCTCTCCCCTTCCCGCCCAGGCAAGGAGGCTGTTTGATGTCTTGCACGAGCCCTTCTTAAAAGTGCCCCGATGACCCCAGGTGTCATAATAAAGCATTTTTCCCATTCCTGTCTCCTGTTGGGTGTGACTGCTGTGGGCACTGAGGTAGAGGGGTTTGTGACTCAGGGAATCACCTGGCTGCTGTCCTGTTGCCCCTGGGGAGATGCCATGACCCCCTCCCCAGGCACCAGAGCAGCTCCTCCTGGGCCATCATCTCCGGCCCCCTTACTTTCCTGGCCTTATGGCTTCTTCTTCTTCTTGGTAGACACTGGGGTTGCCAGGGCCTCTTCATGCAGCTCAGTCTCCATCATCTCCCTCTGGGGCTCGGTCACCTCCGCTCCTGGCTCTGCCACTCGACTCCCTCTTTCTTTCTTCCTCTTCTTGGTGGATGCCAGAGCCACCTGAGGCTCCGAGTCACCTAGCCCCTCAGGTCCCCGTGCATCTTGTGGCTCTGCCCCTGGCTCCACCAGCACTTTTGGCCACTTTTCTTTTTTCCTCCTCTTTTTGGTGTACGTCAGTGCTGCTTCCGCCAGGGGCTCTAAGTCCTGGGGCGGTTTGGCCTCCATCCCCATCTCCCCGCCGAGCTCCACAGGTCTCCCGTCTGGCTCTGCCACCTCAGTTGCTGGCTCCGCCATCACCTTGGGCCGCTTATCTTTTTTCTTCTTCTTCACTGAGGGCAGCGGCATTGACTCCTCGTGTGGCTCCACCTTAACCTTCAGTGGAAACTCATCTTTCACCCTCTCCACAGGCTCCATCCCTTCTGTCCCCTTCTGCCTCTTCCGCTTCTTGGTGGGGGACAGTACAGTTTCTTCCAGAGGCTCTGTCTTAATGACAAGTTCAGGCTTCACCGAATTTGCTTCTGGCTCTGGCAACCCAGTTTCTAGTTCGACCACTTCTGCTCCTCTGGGCTGCTTCTTCCTCTTCTTGGTAGTGGATGGTTCTGGCACCCCTGTTGTTCCCAGCATCTCTGCAGGCCCTGTCCCCAGTGGCTCTGTCGTCGTCACTTCTAGCTCTGTCAGCTTTTTCTTTTTCTTTCCTAAACCCATCTCTGGGGACTCTAAAGCTGTGTCTACCTCCAGGATGCCGGGTCCATTCACCTGCTCCTGAGGGACCTGCCTCTTCTTTTTCCTCTTCCCAGATGCGGGTGTCTTCTGGGTTAAGGCTGAACAAGGCCCTGTGATTGGAGGGCTGCCTCCAAAGGCACAGAACCGAGGCCTCAGTCCAAGGGGGATCTGGGGCGAGGGGCTGGCTGGAATGGGCTGCAGACAGGCCCCTGACAGGGATGCTTGGGGACCCTCGAAGATCCTAAGCCTACCTTGGGGGGTTGGGGCACATGTCAGTTCACCCTTCGCCTCCACTGAGGGGGCCAGCAGGGTGGCTTCTCCAGCCGGGGGGCCGCTGCTGCCGAGGATCCGGAAGCGCTGCCGTTTGCCTGCCAACTTGCCCTTCACAGTTTGGAAGCCACAGAGAGGCACGAGTCGCCCGTTGAGGCTGCAGGGAGAAAGGGGGAAAGCAGAGGTCAGATCAGGTTCTGTTGGTGGGGCAGGGGAAAGGAGCTGAGGAAGCTACATTCCTAATAGTCAGGAACGCATCTGTAAACAACCCCCCAATTTCAGCCTCTAGCGTGAGGGAGGTAGCGTGAGACCACTCACCAGTCTGGGGTGAAATCCAGCGGAGCCCTTATGATCCACAGTTCCGTATCTGGGCCCGTCAACGCTTCCAAGGACAAACGAGGGTGCTCGGAGGTTGGGGGCAACGCAGCAAAATTGGGGGGACAAGAGAATCGCGCAGCACCTGCACGAAAAGAGGAAAGGGTCTGGGGCACTTTCCTGTCATCTGATCCTTCAGGATTACATGGGCACCACCTGTTGAGTCCCAGGCCCCTCACCAGGTTCCCCTTCTCTAGCTCCACGATACCAGCCCCCGGGGGCGCTCTTCTCACCGCTGATATTGTCCCCCAATCTTCCGGGAGTGACTTTTCGTCATCCAAACTCTTCCAGTTTCCCGTTCTGTTACCCTCAGTCCACCCTTCACACCCCATCAACTCGCCCCGTAGCTACTTACCCCCTGACTCGGCGCCCGCCATCCCCACCAGCACTCTTAACCAGCAGCTCCAATCGCTCCAGCCCGGCGGCCGACCACGTGGAACCGGAGGGGTGGGGCCTGATCCGGCTGCATCCAAGTGGTGCTGGCGCATTGGGGCGCCACTCCGAGCCTGCTCGTTCAATTAATAAGACTGCTGGAAATTTTCAGAGCTGATCACCCAGGAAACTCTTGTTTCTCTAAAATTAGCTCGTGAAAGTGGCTGGTTGGTTTCTTAGCAAGAGTCTGAGTCTCACTCCAAGCTGGTCTCTCCCCACTATCTCTCAGACATGGTTTGATCCAACGTCACCTTAAAGTGGCAGCTACGCTGTTTGGCCTTAACTCTTAAAGAGACAAGAAGCCAGATTGGTCTGACCTCTTTAAAGAGACAGGTAAGGGTCCTGGTTAGGGGGTCTGAGCTCGCTTGCAGTGTTAGAATCCTCACTGGGGAGACTGAGATACGGGGAAATTTAAAACTTGTGTGGGAAAGATGGAAAAATGAAGAAATGGGGCCTACAAACTACAGCGAGCGGGAAACCCTTGGGGAGGAGGAGCCAGAGGCGGGGCCCAGGATCCAGGGGCGGAGCCTCCGAACCTGGGACAAGGATGCGCAGGGGGCGGGGCGGTTGAGGGGTGGGGCTTCTGTATCCAATGAGGCTGGTAAATGCCACTGAAGATTTAGTCTGAAGCGTCGGGACATCCCCAACAACTTTAGGGAAGCGTGTGGAAACCTGACCAGCGCCCTCTTTCTGTCCTGGGGCCCGTGTAAACAGCACCATATGCACGTAGATTTAGGGGAGGTGCCCACAGCCCTTCCCACTGGGACCGCACCGCGTGGGGCGGCGGGTGGAGCCGCGGGACAGTGGCTAGACAGTGTGACCCGACTGCATTCCTGGCCGGTGTGTCAGCGCCGTTCCCCGCCCCCTCTGCAGAGATTTCGGATCCTATTTTAGAATTGGGGCGTCCCCCTACTCTTCAGGGCGGAAACGGATTCCCAGAGCTCAGGGAGGGGAAGAGCTCCCTCGGCCTGGGATCGCCTCGCCAGACAGTAACCGCGCGTGGGCGAGACGCCCGGGCGCAACCTGCTGGCTGTGAAACTACAACTCCCAGAAGACCCGAGGCAGGCACGCCCATTGTCCGCCGCGGAAGCTGATGGGGGTTGTAGTCCCACTCCCTCCTTTGGGCGCCGTTGCAGAGCGACCCAACCCACCCTTTTCCACAGGGACACTGGGACTCACAGAGGCCCAAGGGGTTACTGATTTAACGAGGCCCTTTTCTCGCTTTAGTGTCGGGCCCCGTGAGCTTCCTCCAGCCTCTAACCTTCTACTCCCTTGGTAGCCTTCAAGCCTTCACTCAGGAAGGATAATCAACCTGGCTCAAGGGTGTGGTAGGGGCTCGGAAGTCTATTTCCTGCAGCCATCGGGAAGTAGCCTTCTGCACTCCACTCCTGTCTCCCTGGCCAGGTCGCTCCCTGTCTTGGGCCTCGCCCTTCCTGCCTTTGAAATGGACTTCAGCTAAATCCCAATGGGAGCGGCTCAGTCTGCGACCTGTCCCTCTGGGACTACAAGTCCCAAGGTGCCCGAGGAAGCCCCGACTCACCCTCCCCTCCCGGACCCGCCTCCCTCCAACTCGAGTCACATCGTCTAACCTGTTCCCGGTGCCCGCCCCGTCCTCTGCTCCCCGCAGCCAGAGCCGGAGCCGGAGGAGGCCCCCCGTGCCAGGATTTGCCCCGGATCCGTGAGTTCCATTCCCCTGGGGTCCAATGGTCCGGGAGGAGCCCGACGTCCGGGTTCCTGGGAGGACTGGAAAGGAACTCAAACTCAGGGTCCTTGGGAAGAATTAAAGGTACGCAGATGTCTGGGTCCTTGGAAGACAAGAATTCACACGCCCAGTTTCCTGGGCGGAAGAAAAGGGGACTTACTCGATGGATGTCTGAGTTATCAGAAAGTTGGGATAAAGACGCCTTGGTCCTGGGGAGACTTTGGAGCTGGGTTCCTGAATCCCAGGAATAGGCAGCGCTCCCCTCGGAAGCTTGAATCCTGGGGTGGAATTGGAGTCGTGTATATCTGAGCCTTGGGCAGAATTTGGAGGCTGGGTCTCCCGGGACTTTGGAATGAGCGGCCATCCCTGCTGCCTTCTCTACTACGTTTGTGGACCTCAGATCCGAATTAGGGGCGGGGTGGGAATGTGCAACCTGGGTCTCAGAAATGCAAAGGAACAAGAACCGGGGTTCTCCCAGAAGGCTGTGTCCTGGCGCTCCCCGCGACTTCCCAGCTCGGGGGTGGGGGTGGGGGCGCTCCAACCTCCTCTGCGCCGCTGCTTGAGAACCCCAACATGTCATTAACTGGGGCGTCAGACCTGCCTAACTAGAGGAGGGACCTCCGCCACCAGGCGCCCCCTGGCGGGGGCGGGGACCCTCCTGTTGCCCCATGGGTGGGGTTTGCAGGGGGCATTCTGGAACCCAGGGTAGAATTCCAGGAGTTGTATTCTGGGAGGCTTGTATGGCTAGGCACTTACACAGTACACAAAGGAAAGGGATAAACTGAAGTTAAGAGCGAATATACAAGCAGCGGTGTTAAGGGGCCGGATTTGGCTTCATTCAGCCTTTTTGGGGTGGACGGTACTCCATCTACTCCCCCAAGATTTTCTGATGAGCCTCTCTCCCTCTCAGGGCTCCTTGCCCTGACCCAGACCCAGAGGTGAGAAATGTCACCTCCATCCCCTGCTGTCTGACCTTTGGTAGTGTGGGAGATAAGGGAGGGATCCAGGCTAATTCTGGAGGTGTCTATTTGTCCTTGAGGTTGGGGGAGGGCAGGGCCTGGCACCTCCCTCTGTCTTCCCATTTCTCTCTCCAACCCCCAGCTCTGTGTCATGTGGGGGATTAAACAGGGAATGGGGGTGGGTGGGAATGCAGGGCGGGAGGTTCCCATGAGAGAGAGCACACTTCCTAGTGTCTAGGCTTGAAGGGCAGTTGTGATCATCTGAGATGAAATTAAAAATAATAACTGTGGCTTCCAAGCCAAGGCTCAGGGTGTGCCAGGCTCTGGACTGTTTCCAGTGAGGTTGACAAGATAGTCCCCATTGTCCTTAGGAGAAATCTCAGGTAACTGCCCAGCAATCTCACCATGTAAGACATTTGCCAACGCCAGGAGCTGACTCCTCCCTTGTGCTGTGGTGGGGAAACGGTGCTGCAGAGCAGGTACAGCCCACACCCTGGAGTCTATTAGGATTCTTTCTACCCTTGTCCCTGTTTTGCCAGGGTGGGTGATCACTAGTCAGAACTCAGGAGGAATTGTTATTGTTGTTAAGTGTCATTGAGTGGATTGTGACTCATAGGGACCCTGTCTAGGGTTTCCAAGGAGTGGCTGGTGAGTTTGAACCGTCGACCTTGTGACTCAAACCAACCTTGCAGTCTACTGTTTGCAGCCTAGGACTCTCGGTGTGACACTGTAGGATAAGCACTTGGGGAATTTGGGGGAGGTTTTTTGTTTGTTAAGTGCTGTTGAGATGGTTCCAGGAGCACAGAAATCTCAGGACTCAAGAAACAGAGACTAACAGGGTAAGAGAGGGTTGAAACTCTGGACTTTAAGAATCTTAGAAAAAGTCGAAAGAGTACTCTTAGGAAACAAACATTTTCGGTCCAGACCCTGTGTTAGATTAATGAGCAAGCAAAACCAGCAGTCAGTTAATCTTATATGCCTGGTTGCTGACTAAGAATCACCTTCTAGGCAATCGGGTTTGGTAGTACAGTGGTAAGCACTTGGCTGCTAACTATAACTTCCTAAAGATTACAGCCTTGGAAACCCGACGGGACAACTTTGTTATGTCTTATTGGGTCGCTGTGAGTTGGAATCCTAGCAATGGGTTTTTAAAAAACCATGTGTGAGCTTTATTTCATGCTCTGTTGTTCCAAACCCAATACCTAAATCCGGTCACACAAACCTCAGGACTCTTTGAGGTGAAGGTGTTCATTCCTCCATTATATAGAGGAGATGACTGAGGCACTGAGAGGCTGAATAACTTGTCCAGGGTGGAGGCTGAGAAAGGAGTAGGTCCTTGGGACTGTCCAGGACCAGTGGGGTCCAATGGAACTATGGGATTCTGATCCCAGCCCTCCCTGGTGCCCTGGCCCTGTTAGGGAATCTTAACCCCAAAGAACCTGGCTGGGGCACTGGAGAGAGGAGGGGAATAGAGAGAAAGAGATCGTTTGGGGAGGGAGGGCTGGACTTGGAGAGGAACCTGGAGGAGGAGAAGAACCATGGGAGGAGAGCTGGAGTTGGAGGGGAGTCCGGAGGAGGTGGCCTGGGGGTGAAGGGCTGGGGTAGGAACCTACCAGCAGAGGCGTGGCCCGCGCCACCCCCACACCCTGCCCGGCCCCCGCGGGAGGTTCCGCACCTGCCCAGGCCCGCTGAGCATTCCCAGAACCTGAGCTCAGGCACCCGCAGCCCGGCCAGCAGACGTTGAGTCTTGACACGGGGGCGCCCCCTGGCGGCTCCGGCACTCCGTTGGCGCGCTCGAACCACCAAACAGTCCCGCACCCAGGGATGGCATTTCCTTTGAACCAGAGGATGTCAGCGTGGAATCCTGAAATCCCCTAAAGAACCACTCGCTGCCAGAATGCTGACATGGGAGACTGCTTTATAGACAGTTTTGTAGTTTAACAGGCAGAGTGCTTCCCGTGTGTTTCTTTCTGAAAACCTAAAAGCCCCAAGTTTTGATTCCTGTCATCTCTACTTTTGAGATCTCAGTTCTCAGACTCCTCAATTCCTCTGCACCTGTTGGTTCCAGTTGGATCCTCATAAAAAGTCCTGTGAGATGCATTGTTATTTATCCCCATCTTACAGATCAGAAAACTGAAGCACATAGGTTAAACCTTTGCTAGTAACACAAAATGGTGTGGTTCGAGATCAGGCTTGAAGTCTGGCTCCTTTACTATGAAGACAGTGGAACTCTGGGATGGAGAAAGACTTATTAACTACTGTCGAGTCGGTTCTGACTCATAGCGACCCTGTATGAGTTTCCAAGGAGTGATTAGCAGTGCAGTGCTTATCCACACCAGGACTCCACAGAAAAACTTAGGTCTCTAGAATAGCCAAAGCAGAGGACTCTAGAATGTTCCAAAGATAGAATCTTGGACTCAGAAATTTCCCAATAATAAAGTATCAAGCTCTGAGGATTTTAGGCTCTGCAGAACTTTAATTAGTATAAATGGTTTACACGCCACTCCATCTATCTGACTGCCCCATGGGAGAAAGGCCGTCCTGAAAGACAGCAGCAGAGAAAACCCAGGGGACTTTGTAACACCTGGGGTCACTGTGAGTTGGAATTTTCTCCCTTTTTTGGCTTTTAGCACTTTAATGATAGTTTCAAGATTCTTACAGTTTCAGAATTGAAGCCTCGTAGAGATTGAGGGGGACCGCTGAGCAAAGCTGAGTTAACTCCTTTAACTGTTGGGAAAACTAAGACCTGAGAAATGAAAGGAACTAGTCATCCAAAGTCACAGTCACTCAATCCTCCCAGAGGAGCCGACAGTCCCAACAGGTTCTGTTCCCTGGGCTTCCCAGACAGAGGCTAGTGTTGGCATGCCCCAGCCTGCCCTGCTGCCCACGCCTGCTCCGCCAAAGCTGAGCCACTAGTGTGCAGAGGGAGGTAGCAGGGCTGGTGGGTGTGGTAGCTGGAATGGAGATGGCACCAGCCCAACCGGTTCCTGCTGACCTGGTCCTCTCCCACTGAGCAAGTGACCACAGCTGCCCAGCCACCTGGCCACTCCCTGCCTCTCCTGCTAACACAAAGACAGTCTGAGTCAGGCCTCCCCTGAGCAGGGATACTGGGGACAGGAAGCTGAGCAATCCCAGCTCTCTGGGTGCTTGAACTTGTTTTTCAGCCTTACTTTCTGACCTACTTGATAACCACAAGGTGGACAGTTCAGACTCACCAGCTGCTCTCAGAAACCCTACACAGGGTCACTGTGTGTCGGAACCAACTCAACAACACACATCAACAACAAAATGCCTTTAGCATTGTAAGATAAGCACTGACCTGCTAACGACAAGGTCAGTGGTTCAAACCCACCAGCTACTCTTGGAAACTCTAGACAGGGTTGCTGTGAGTCAGAACCGACTTGACGACATACAAGAAGAAGTGGTGCTTTAGGATAAGCACTGAACTGCTAACCGCAAGGTCAGCAGTTCAAACACACCAGCCACTCCTTGGAAGTGGGTGGGTAGGAGCTGTGGTGTCTCTATCTTATGAATCAGCATCCACTCCGTGACAGTGGGTGGGTAGGAGCTGTGGTGTCTGCTCAAATGGTTGAAGGTTTGACCCACCCAGCTGCTCCTTGGTAGAAAGATTTGACAATCTGCTTCCTAAAGATTGCTGTTGTTAAATGCTGCCGAATTAGATGCTGTATAGGGTTTCCAAAGAGCAGCTGGTGGGTTTGAACTACCTACCTTGTAGTTCGTAGTTCAGTGCTGATCCTATAACACAAGATTATAGCCTAGTAAACTCTATGGGGGTAGTTCTACTCTGTCTGGGGGTCCTATGATTTGAAATCCACTTGAGGCACTTAACAATAACAGGTTTAACTATAACGTTGAGCGAATAGGTGATTAATAGATAATTGTCGAAGGAAAGATGTGAGTCTCACTAGAGGTTAGATGTTATTGTTAGGTGTCGTACCGACTCATAGCGACCCTATGCACAACAGAATGAAAAGCTATGTAGTCCTGTGCTAACCTCACAATTGTTGCTGCCACTGCGCCAATCCATCTCATTGGGGGTCTTCCTCTTTGTCTACGACCCTCCATTTTACCAAATATGATATCCTTTTCCAGGGACTGGTCCCTCCTGACAATATGTCTGAAGTTTGAGAGACAAAGTCTGGCCATTCTGGCTTCCAGGGAGCATTCTGGCTGTACTTCTTCCAACACAGATTGCTGTACAATATCTCTTTAAAGGTACCATGGTACCTTTAATATTCTCCCTCAACACCATAGCTAAAATACATCAATTTTACTGTCTTCCTTATTCACTTTCCAATTTTTACATGCAGTATGAAGTTATTGAAAATATAATGGCTTGCATCAGACACACCTTAGTCCTGAAACGGACATCTTTGCTCTTTAGCACTTTAAAGAGGTCTTGTACAGCAGATGTGCCTAATGCAAGAACTGAGATAGAAACGGACAAAGAGCCAAAAAAAAAAAAAAAGGTGAATTGTTTGGAGTCTTCTAGAAGGACTTGGGATTCCTAGATGGCATGTGAACTGGGTTTTGAAGTAGTTGGAAAAGCAGAAAGGGAAGGCGATTCCAGTGGAAGGAACTAGGAGTCTGGCCGCTCTGTCCGACAAATCCCACTTCTCTTGGCCCCAGGTTCCTAGCGGGCAAGGGGCGGGGTCTGAGAAGGCTCCTCCCCCTAACAGGCTTCCCGCTCCGGCCGGCACCATGGACAGCGAGGCATTCCAGAGAGCGCAGGATCTTCTAAATCTAAACTTCCAGTGTGAGCTGGGTTAAGGGGCGGTGCTTGCTGGGGTGAGCCCTGGGGGTGCGGGTGGTATAGGGGCGGGGCCCTGTCAGGTTGCTCACCCTTACCACGGCCCCCACGTTCACCCCCAGCTTTGGCCATGAAGCACATGGACTTGAAGCAGATGGAGCTGGACACAGCAGCAGCTAAGGTAGACGAACTGACCAAACAGCTGGAGTCACTCTGGTCAGACTCGCCAGCGCCTCTTGGTCCCCAGGCTGGAGCCTCCTCTAGGGTGAGCCTGCTTGCAGCGGTCCCCACCTTAGCCCCCACAGCTAGCTTCTCTAGGCCTGGATTTCACTTTAAGGACCAGGAAGACCCCTAGATGGAAAGGTCCCCTTCTCGAGGCTACACATAGGCACGGCCTGGGCTACTGCCGCTCTAGCCTCAACCTCGATTTCAGGGCTCTCCTGTCAGCTGGTTTGTGTCCAGCTGGGGGTCTTATTCCATTGGGTTGGCCTCCGGTGACCTCTTTTGACTTTCTACCGACTCCTCCACCAATGTCCCCTTTTGCCCCTCCATGATCCGACCTTCCCACAGATGTCCCGGTACAGCTCCAGCCCAGTCCCTGAGTCCTTCGGCAGCCGTGGGTCCCCTCGGAAGGCAGCCACTGACAGCGCAGACACCCAATTCGGACGCTCCGAGAGCACCCCAACCCTGCTGCCCTATAGCCAGCTGTCCCCCAAGGGCCGGCCGTCGTCGCCTCGCACCCCGCTCTATCTACAACCGGACGCCTACAGCAGCCTGGATCGCGCACCCTCGCCCCGGCCCCGTGCCTTTGAAGGTGCGGGCGGCACCCTGGGCCGGGCGCCCTCTCCACGGCCCGGTCCAGGTTCGGGTCCACTGCGCCAACAGGGTCCCACCACGCCCTTCGACTACCTGAGCCGTGCCGCTTCCCCTCGTGGTAGTCCCCTGGCTGAGGGGCCCCAGGCCTTCTTCCCTGAGCGCGGGCCCTCTCCACGCCCGGCTGCCTCCACCTATGACTCGCCAGTGACCTTTGGGAGCTCCCTACTGGGTGCCGGCGGCAGCGCCTTCACACCGCCCCTGCGAGCTCAAGGTGAGCACGGGGCTGGGACACCCAGAAACGCGGGGCAGGGTGCGGGGCTCGGGTCAAGCTCTCCAGATGCGCCTCTCCCCAGACGACCTGACGCTGCGCCGGCGGCCCCCCAAGGCCTGGAACGAGTCAGACCTGGATGTGGCGTACGAGAAGAAGTCTTCTCAGACCACCAGTTATGAGCGTGAGTCCCGGGAGGCCAGCAGGGGGCAGGGGGCGGGGAATGGGAGGAAAGGCACCCTCAGACTCTAATGGTCCTCCTGTCTTGCAGGTCTAGAGGTCTTCCCGAGGCCCGCCTCGCCCAGCCTGCAGCTGTTGCCCTGGAGAGAAAGCAGCCTGGATGGGCTGGGGGCCACCGGCAAGGTGAGGGCCCGGGAGATGGGAAACTTAGTCTGAGCCAGTTTCTGTTCCCCACCCGCTCCCAGACCACCTTTCTTTGTCTCCGCCTCTGCCTCTTCTCCCTCTCCCTTTTTACTCTGTAGTTTTCTCCTTCCCTCTTCTCTTTGCTCCTCCCCTTGCTCTCATATTTCTCTCACCTGAGGTCCTTTCCTCCTCCCCTTTTTCTTTTCCCAGGAGAGTCTCACCAGCGCCACCCTGCCGCGCAATTACAAAGTGTCCCTTCTGGCCAATGACAGACGTTCGGATGTGGGCAGCTACCGCCGCTCCCTGGGTTCCGCGGGGCCAGCAGGCACTTTACCCCGCAGCTGGCAACCTGTCAGTCGCATCCCTATCCCCCCCTCCAGTCCCCAGCCCCGCACCGCTCCCCGCCAGCGCCCCATCCCCCTCAGCATGATATTCAAGCTGCAGAATGCCTTCTGGGAGTATGGGGCCAGCAGGGCCATGTTCCCTGGCTCCTCCATGGTCAACCGGGTGCCCGCACCTAAACTGCCCTCCCAGCCCCAGCCACTTCCCCAGTCCCAGGCTCCCCTCCAACCCCAGCTACACCTCCAGCCCCATCCACAACTACAGCCCCAGCTGCAACCCCAACCCCAGCCCCAGTCTCAGCCCCAGCCCCAGCCCCAAACCTCCGTCCCAGCCCTCCAAGTCCCCCAACAGACATGGCCCCCTGGGAGTGAAGGTGAGTCAATAGTAGGGACCCGGGAGGACTGGGTGATGGGAGGTTAAATGGTGGGTCGAACAGACCAACTGGGGGAGTTCCCAGGCACTATTGCTGCAGAGAGATAGGTCACAGAAACTTGGTAAGTAATTCAGGTAGCAAGGCTAACACAGTGTTTATGCATGGATCCTGGAGACTGCCTGGCTCTACACTGTGTGACCTTGGGCAAGTCACTTAACTTCTCTGAACCTCCATATCATTAAATGTGAAAGGAGAGTAATACTAGAACCTAACTGCTTGGGATATTGTATTACATCACTTAGTTCATATAAAGTCCTTAAAATAGTCCCCACTGCATAGGAAGCCCTCACTAATCAGCATATTGGTTGTAATAATATATTTTTGGTGTAAGACCAGCAGAGTTACGAATATAGGACCCAGAGTCAAGCAGAGTGGGTTTGAGCCCCTCTCCACCACTAACTTGCTGTGTGACTCAGAATAAATGTCTTAACCTCTATGAGCTTGCTTGGTTTTCTCAGCTATGAACAGAGATTAATAGATAATATCTGCATTTGAGGTTTGTGATGGGATTCAATGAGATAATCTATAGAAAGTAACTATTATTAATAGCAAAATTTATTTTGCTCTTAATAGAAACAATATTAGCCCAACTGTCATCAAGTTGGTTCCAACTCATAGTGAGTCTCCGTAGTGTTTCTGAGACTGTAAATCTTTGCTGCAACAGCCAACCTCATTGTGCTCCCTTGGAGCAGTTGGTGGATTTGAACCATCAACCTTGTAGTTATCAGTTCAATGCCTAACCCATAGTGATGTTGAGTCACTTCTGACTCATAGCAACCCTGAATAGGGTTTCTGAGGAGCGGCTGGTAGGTTTGAATTGCCAAGTATGCAGTTAGCAGTCCAGTGCTTATTTTATGGCATTAGACCAGGAGTCCTTAAATGTTGTTAAGTGCCATCAAGTCGGTTCCAACTTATTGAAACCCTGCATAGGGTTTCCACAGAGCGACTAGTAGATTTGAACAGCTGACCTTTGGTTAGCAGTTCAGTGCTTATCCTACAATCCCACACCAGGACTCCTAGACAGTAGTGTTGTTAAGTGTTCTCTAGTCGGTTCCAACTCATAGTGACACTGTATAGGGCTTCCAAGGAGTGACTAGTGAGTTTGAACTGCCAGTCTTGGGGTTCAAGCCAACCCTATGGTCAAGTGTTTATCCTACAGCACGCACCAGGACTCCTAGACATTAATTAGTAATATAATATGCTAGTATTAATACTATTATTGCTAATAATTATTACTAATATTATATAAAGATCCTTTGTGGTGTTGTGTTAAGCACTTTGCTGCTAACCAAAAGTTAGCAGTTCAAACCCACCAGCTGCTTCTCAGGAGAACAATGTGGCAGTCTGTTTCTGTAAGAATTTACAGCCTTAGAAATGCTATGGGACAGTTCTGCTCTGGCTTACACGGTCGCTAGGAGTCAGAATCAACTCAGCAGCAAAGGGTTAGGGTGGTTTGGTTTTAGACTCCATGACAAATAACAACAACAAATAATAATACTAGTAATAATTGCTAGTAATATTAGTAATACTGTTAGGGGCCATCAAGTCATTCTAACTCAGTGACTCTAAGGGACAGAGTAGAACTGAAGGAAACACTAGCCGGTCCTGGACCATCCTCACAATCGTGTCTTTGTTTGAGCCCACTGTTACAACCACTGTGCTCTTTTTCTGTTTTTGCTGACCCTCTACTTTACCACGTCTGATGTCCTTCTCCAGGGATCAGTCCCTCCTGATCACATGTCCAAAGTACATGAGACGAAGCCTCTCCATCCCCACTTCTAAGGACCATTCCAGCTGTACTTCTTCCAAGACAGATTTATTTGTCCTTCTGGCTGTCCATGTTATACTCAATATTCATCAGCACCATAATGGAAAGGAATCCATTTTTGGGGCTTTCTTATTGAGTGTCCAGTATTCACATGCATATGAGGCAATTGAAAACACCATGGCTTGTGTCAGTCATATTATTAGTAATAAATATGATCAGTACTTAGTCCTAACATTACTTCTTGCTCTAGATGCACTTCTAGTGGGGAGTAAGATGGAAAGGAGAGACCACCGAGCATCAGGCTTCCAGTCCCAGCAGGAATTTCCTTAGCCTCTTAGTCAAGTCTATCTGGTTGGTAGGAGCAGATTCTGGAGTCAAAACTGAGTTCAGCTCCCAGCTGTGTGGCTTTACTCAACTGACTTGCCCTCTCTGAGACTCAGTTGTCCTTTCCGGAGTATGATAATGATTGTTGTATCTATCTCACAAGGTAATGTGTAGAATCCAAATAAGACAGGTGTGTCAAATTCCAGGAACATGATAATTGCTAGATATATAGGAAGTAAGGAGCTCTGGTAGTGTCGTGGGTTATGAGTTGGGCTGCTAACCGCAAGGTCAGCAGTGCAAATCTACCAGTCGCTTCATGGGAGAGAAAGATGAGGCTTTCTGTTCCCGCAAAGACTTACAGCCTCAGAAACTCTATCTACTCCATGGCACATAATCTATCAGTCATATCAAAAGTGCTATCATTTTATATTCACAACTTAGCAAAGTTGCCCAGAGAGGGCAGGGAACTGCTCTAAGGTCAGAGCAAATCAGGTGCTATTCACAGGTCCTGGAATTTGAGGGGAGGATGTCGTAAGGGGTGGGGGTGGGGGATCTTCTCTGATGGGCCTCTTCTTGCTAGGTGCCCCCAAGCTCCCTGCTGACCTGGACCCAGAGCCCGAGCTGGAAGGGCTGCTGGCACCAGTGCTAGAGGCTGGCGATGCGGATGAAGGTGCCCTTACACGGCCTCTCAGCCCCACAAGGTTGCAGCCAGCACTGCCGCCTGAGGCACAATCAGTGCCTGAGCTAGAGGAGGTGGCTCGCGTGCTGGCAGAGATTCCACGGCCTCTCAAACGCAGGGGCTCCATGGAACAAAGCCCCGCCGTGGCCCTGCCCCCCACTCACAAGAAACAGTACCAGCAGATCATCAGCCGTCTCTTCCATCGTCATGGGCCTGGGCCTGGGGGGCCAGAGCCTGACCTGTCTGCCATCACTGAAGGATCCGAGGCCAGGGCAGGGCCTCCGGCTCCCGCCCTACCTGCTCCCATCCCGCCTCCAGCCCCACCCCAGAGCAGCCCCCCAGAGCAGCCACAGAACATGGTAAGTAATATAGGAGGATGCTGGGTATGTTAGCTAGCTAGCGTATGGATTCAACTACTGTAACCGAGAGACCCCCAACATACTATGGCTTTAATGAGATCGAAGGTTCCTGATGGTGCGAATGGTTTACACTTGACTATCAACCCGTGCAGCTGCATCACGAAAGAAAGTCCTGGTGATCTGCTTCCTTAAAGATGATAGCCAAAAACACCCTATGGAGCAGTTCTACTCTGTAACACACGGGGTCACCAGGAGTAAGAATCAACTTAACAGCAACAGGTTTTGCTTTTGGGGTTTAATAAGATAGAAGATTATTTCTCTTTTCAGCCAGTTCAGGAGTAAGCAGTCCAGAAGCTGGTAAGGGGGTGTATAGATTCAGGACCCAAGCTCTGTCTACTTGGAATGTACCATTTCTTGGAGGCTACCTTGTCCTTATGGCCCCTAGTGGCTCCCACCAAGGCTACATTGCAGCCAGGAAGAGAGGGAAGTGGTCTTTCCATTTTAGGGCAGAACCTAGAAAGTGCACACATCACTTTTGCCTCTAGCATGCTGGCCAGGAATCTAGCTGCCAGGGAGGCTGGAAATGTAGTCTTTGATCTAGGTATGCCTGTGTTCAGAAGATGGGCAGATTGTAGTTAAAGGGGCGTCCATCAGGAGACTGTCTTTGCTTCTTCTCTCCAGTAACCTGCCCCATGGGCAGCCCTTCAGGAATCTCAGTCTCACAACCTGGAAGTGACTGAATCTTGGGTTTCTTCTGGGCCTTGGAAACTGTGTCTGAATCAAGGCAGTCACCATCTCTCTCTTTGGGGATCAGACAGTCTCTACTGTCTGCACTTTCTGAGGATCTGCTGTCTCCTCTATCTAATTTGGCTTTCTTTCTAAGTATCCATTCATCTATCCCCACTTTTTACCCCTTAGGAAGCCTGTGACTAAAAACAGCCCACCCAGCCCCAACTTAAAAAAACAACAACAACAAAAAAAAACCCTCTCATCTTGTTATCTGACTCCACTCTCAAACTTTTCCATTTACATTTTCAAGAGCCAATATATAAAGATAATTAAAGAGCTTAGGAGCCATGGTGGTACAATGGTTAAGCGCTTGGCTGCTAACTGAAACGTTGGTCGTTTGAACCCATTTTCCATCTGGGAAAGGTGTGTCAGTTTCCTTGTGTAACAATTTATTGTTAGGTTGACTGATAGCAAGTCTATGTGTGCACAGCAGAACAAAACACTCCATGCTCCCATGCCATTCTCACAACCATTGCTGTGAGGATACTTACACTGTGTCAAGGAGCTCTGCTAGCGTAGTGGTTACAAATCGGGCTGCGAACCTAAGGCCAGTGGTTCGAAACTACCAGCCGCTCTGCGGGAGAAAGATGAGGCTTTCTACTCCTGTAAAGATTTACACCCTTGGAAACCCTGTACAGGGTCACTATGGGTCGGAACCGACTCGACGGCACTTAACAACAACAACCATTGTATTAGTCCATTTTATTGGGGTCTTCCTCTTTTTCACTGATCCTTGACTTTACCAAGCTTTTCACTGATCCTTGACTTTACCAAGGGACTGGCCCCTCCTGATATTATAGCTACAGTAACAATTATATACTTGAAAACCCAATGGGGCAGTTCTGCTCGGTCCAATAGGATTATGATGAGTCAGAATTGACTAGCTGATAACTGGTAAAAGTGCTTGAACTAGTGTTAGCCACTGAATACCAGATGTATATGCACAGAGAAGAAGTTGGGGCCACATCTTGTTGTTGTTGTTGTGTGCTGTGGTGTCGGTTCCGACTCATAGCGACCCTGCACAGGGTTTCTGAGGCTGCAAATCTTTACAGGAGCAGAAAGCCTCATCTTTCTTCCACAAAACAGCTGGTAGTTTCGAACTGCCGACCTTGAGGTTAGCAGCCCGATCCGTAAGCACTATGCTACCAGAGCCTGGGGCCACATGGACACCCCAAAATGCCTGCTCCCAGGCTTTCTCCTTGAGGGTGAATGAAACCAAGGAATGTTGAGAATCAGGACTGGGAAATGAAGAATGGAAAAATGCTAATGTCTTGAAATGGTAGAATTTGTCCCATCATAGAATCACAAGTTTTGGCTGCAAAGAAACTTGAAAAATCACAGAATTCAGGAATTAAATCCGGTCACTTCAATCTCAGAAGGGTGAAATTTCAGAATCTGAGCAAACCGAGGCCTTGAATAATAGGAGATTAGAATTATAAAGTTAGTGTTACGGACTTTGGAGTCCCCAGCTGTTGCAGATGGTTCATACACCCAACTGCTAAGCCAAAGGTTAGAGATTGAAGTCCACTCAGAGATCCTTCAGAAGAAAGAGCGGGCAGTCTTCTGAAGACTCAGCCATTGAAAACCCCACGGAGTAGTTCCAACCTGGGATCCACAGGGTTGCCGCAGGTCAGAATTGACTCAGCAGCAACTTTTGTTACGTTGTGACATAGTCCTTGGTCAAAATTGGTCTGAGAAATTGCAAAACCTGAAAATTCTAGAATCTTGTTCATTTGATTAATAAAAAGCATGGCTATGTTATAATACAGACCTATATTTAATCAACATTTTGACTCTAAAGAAATGTAGAAACACCACCTAAAACATGAAGAAAATAGACAAAAATGGAACAAAGAAGACACAATCACAGAGCTTAGAACCGTGATCAATATTTAGAGGATTTCTTTGTCATTTTTTTGGAGTGAAATTCCAAAATCTATAAAACATTAAAGTTCTCAATCATAGGATTTCAGAATTGTCACGTTCTGGACCCTCAGCAGTTTGAAACTGCACACTGGGAACTGATGACTGAGCCTCATATAATCTTGGAATTGGCAACTCTTGGAGTCCCTGAATTCTAGAATCTTGAAATTAGTGAAATTCTAAATTTCGACAGTCAAGGCCCGAATCAAACTCCACATATTCATACGAAATGAATCTTGCAGAGGGAGAACTGAACATTAAGAATATAAAAAAATCACAAGGAATAACATAAAATAGCCATATCCCAAATATCTGAAGTTTAACACTCAGTTTCTTAGAGTGGCATTGTAGGATAACAAATGGACTGCTGATTGCAAGGTGGGCTGTTCAAACCCACCAACCACTCAGAAACCCTATAGAGGGTCACTGTGAATCAGAATCAACTCAACGGCACTTAACAACAGTATTATCAGGCGTCTCAGTGGCACAGTGGTTAAGGATTTGACTGCTAACTGAAAGGTTAAAGATGCAAACGCACTAGCTGCGGAAAGACCTGGCCACCTCCTCCCTTTAAAGATTACAGCCAGGAAACCCTAGCGGGCAATTCTAGTCAGTAGAGTAGGAATTCACTGGGTGACTCAGAAAAACAATATTTTTATCAGATGTGCTACATGATTTATTATCAAAGACATGACTGTATGAATTGAATAGCTGATTTCCACGATCACCACCTGGAAGGCATAAAATTAGTTTGCTAGCAGCTCAATGATCTCCCAGCACCTGCTCAAAGTTCAGGGCTCAAGATTTCAAGGTCAAGGGATTCCCTGAATGTATAGAGAATGAGACTGTAGAACTCCCTACTCTGGACTCCCCTGGGTGGGCTCGAATCCCAACCCTACCCTAATCTAACAGGGTGGCCTGAGGCAGTAGTCAACCAGCCCCTGGGCCTTCTTGTTACGTGCGGACCTTGTGTATAAGGTTTTCTTTAGGAGCAGCTGGTGGGTTTGAACTGCCGACTTTGTGATTCCCACTCCAGTGCTGGTCCTACAGTGCCACACCAGAAGTCCTTTTGTCCTCCACGCAATGGTGACGCTAACAACCTCCTTCAAATCCCTGACCACTCTACCTCGCCCTCCCAACCTGTTCCCAGGAAATGCGTTCATTGCTGCGGAAAGCAGGCTCCCCGCGCAAGGCCCGCCGAGCGCGCCTCAACCCGCTGGTGCTGCTGCTGGACGCAGCGTTGACGGGGGAGTTGGATGTGGTGCAGCAGGCCGTGAAGGAGGTAAGTGAGGCTAGCGGGCTGGGCTGGGGCCAGAGACGAGAGCAGGGGCAGCCACCGGACTGAGCGCCCCTGGGCCCGCCCCGTGCAGATGAACGACCCGAGTCAGCCCAACGAGGAGGGCATCACCGCCCTGCACAATGCCATCTGTGGCGCCAACTACCCCATCGTGGACTTCCTCATCGCTGCTGGTGCCAACGTCAACTCCCCTGACAGTCATGGCTGGTGAGCCCAGACCCGCCATGGGGAGGAGTGAAGGGGTGGGCGGGGACACGGCACTGTGGGCGGTGCATCTGCGGCCAGGCCCTCCCTCCCTCACTCCTGTCACCCACGTCCAGGACACCACTGCACTGCGCGGCATCTTGTAACGACACGGCCATCTGCACGGCTCTGGTGCAGCACGGCGCGGCCATCTTCGCTACCACGCTTAGTGACGGCGCCACTGCTATCGAGAAGTGCGACCCCTATCGTGAGGGCTATGCTGACTGTGCCACCTATCTGGCAGGTGTGAGGCAGGGTGGGGCAATTCTTGGGAGTGAGGGGAGGGAATAGGCGGATTGGACCTCCCACCTGACAAGTGCATAGTTGGGAAGGGACGGGAACCTGCTACCTGCAAAGAGGAGTGATGGACCTGGGGTGGGGGGAGCGGAATCAGAACCAGCCACTTGACACGTGGTGGGGGTGAGCTCCCTTTGAGTCATTTGTTGAGGCTGTAGTTGGCAGAACAGTGTAAGAAAGCGCTGCCCACCTGCCCACTGTAAACAGGATATAGGGGCAGTGAACTGCTTCTTTTGCAGGGGCGTGTGTCATAGGGTCATGTGATTTGGAAACAGGGAGGTGGGGGGAGAAGTGTGGGCGTGGAGATTGTGCCGCTCACCTGCGCTCTCACCTGGTGAGCCGGCAGTGGCTCCTGGGAGGGGATCTTGTCACCTGTAGTGGGGGGGTGTGTGCCGTGGAGAGGCATGGGATTGAACACTTGTTAGGAAGATGTGGGTGGGGCTGTAGCAGGTATCTCCAGGGGCAAACTGCATCACCTAAGGAAGTAGAGACATGGGTGCTGAGTTCCCTCATAGGAAAGTGAGGGCCACACTCAGGGTAGGCAAACTGTTGGACAACACACTTGGAAAGTCATATGGATTGAACAGCCGGGGATAGGAACTTCACAGACAGCTGGAGGAAGTGGGGCTTTGGGGCCTGCGGGTGGCACATGTTGTTGTTGTGAAGTGCCTTTGAGTCGGGTCCGACCCATAGCGACCCTGTACAGGGTTTCCGAGGGTGTAAATCTTTACGGGAGTAGAAAGCTTCATCTTCCTCCCGCGGAGCGGCTGGTAGTTTCGAACCGCTGACCTTAAGGTTCGCAGCCCGATTCGTAACCACTACGCACACATAGAGTTTGATATTTGAGAGGGTGGCCTGGAATGGCTATACAACAGTAAGCTTGGCCCATGATGGCACAAGGGGTGTAACACCTGCTCGATAGATGAGCAGGAGCAGACTGGGACTGCACCACTACTGAAAGGGAGATTGGGTCATTACACCGTTGTCACAGGTACATGGATCCTATGAGACATGGCCACATGGGTTCACTAAGAGTTGGAATCTCTAAATTGCAACAGTGACCTGCCTCAGACAGAGAGTTCTGTAAGGGTGAAGTAGAAATTGTCCCTGGGAAGGAGCAGAGGAGAAACTAGACCGCAATGGACAGAACCACTTAAAGGGGGAATATGTGGACTGTACCATCTCAAAGGGGGGTTAAATACTTGTTGGAGACTGTACCACTTAAATGGGGAGGTTAGAGTGGGCTGTACCATCTGAAGAAGGGGTTGAATCGTCTGTGGGAGGTGTGGGAAGCGTACCACATAAATCACTGCTGGGGAAGACATTGATGTGGGAATTTAACAGCATACAAGAGGGGAGTGGTCCAGTTTGATGCACCTCAATGTTGTTGCCTGCTAGAGATTTTCAGTGTCCTGGCATCCTAGCCATCTCTGCCTGCCCAGACAGGGTACACACAACTTTTCAGGTGGTTCTTCCCTCCGCCTGGAGCAGGTCTGAGCCCCAGAGCCTGTCCCTGTCCCCAGCATGTCCCCATGTTCCCGGGGTTCCTGGTTCTCATAATCTGACTTCTTTCAGATGTGGAGCAGAGCATGGGACTGATGTACAATGGGGCTGTATACGCTCTCTGGGACTACAGCGCTGAGTTTGGGGACGAGTTGTCCTTTCGCGAGGGCGAGTTGGTCACCGTGCTGCGTAGGGATGGGCCAGAAGAGACCGACTGGTGGTGGGCCTCACTGCATGGCCTGGAAGGCTACGTGCCCCGTAACTACTTTGGGGTGAGCCCAGAGAATATGCGGAGGGGTTCCTGATGGACGGCTGGGAGGCCATTTGAGGAAGGGAACGATCCCACAGGGAAAATGGGGCAAGAGGGAAAGAGGCCCTGAGCGTGATGGTGAGATTATTCATTCTTCATGATTGCTCCTGGGGAGACGAGGAAAACCCAATTAGAGGGGACCCATGGTGGAGATGAGGAAAAGTCACTTAAAAGATAGCCACGTATGTGTTGGGGATATAGTTTATAGGTTATATAAAACCAGTACTGCTTATTTAACTGGTCAGTGCCTCATCAAATGTTTTGATTATCATCCATGATTGTATTGGGGAGGTTAAAGAAGAATCCCATTTTAGTGACAGGAGAAGTGAAAGATTTATGAATGGCAGGCAGGATGGGGAGGCCGCTTTTATTCCGTTGCATTGGGCAGACTGTAAAGGAATCCATTGTTAAAGTGGTGGTAGAAATGAGGGCAATTCTACTAGGGTTGGGGGAAGGAAACCAGGAAGATTCAATTCTAATCCTGGGAGGGAAGAGCCTTTTAATTTGGAAATAGGTAGAAAAGGGACCGAAACAGACAGCTATGGTAGAGAGGAAAGGAGACATGCCCTTTCTGGTCATAGGGACAACTGGGAATATTCCATTTTATTCATGAAGCTGCTTTTTGGAAGGTTCTACCTGGACTCCTAGTGTGGCGTTGTAGGATAAGCATTGGACTACTAACCGCAAGGTTGGCAGTTCCACCCACCAGCCGCTCCTTGGAAACCTTATAGGGTCGTTATGAGTCGGAACTGACTCAACAGCACTCAATAAAAACAAGCTGGAGTCTGGAGGTGTTGGAAACTGGGGTTTCCAGACATGCTTCAGACAGTCTATTAGGAAGGGAGGGCTGCTGAGACAGCCTATTTATTTGAGGATGGGAGGAGAGAGAATAAGGGGATCTCACTATAGTCGCGGTGGGTTGACACATGGGAGCTCTTAGTATCTGTCTGAAGTTTTTGTCTCCGCAGCTCTTCCCTAGGGTGAAGTCTCAGAAGAATAAAGTCTAGCAGGAGAGAAGGACATTTCCAAAGTACACGGGAGGAAGCTGCCCGGCTTTTTCCGCTCCTGACCCCCCCCCCCCACCACCACCGTTCCATTATTACTGCTGCAGCTGTGTCTGTCCCCTGACCAGCAGGGGGCGTATTCCTCACCACCAGCTCTCTGTTCTCATGGAAGCTCAGGGATGATCTGGCAGACCTCTCAGCCTTAAGTTTAGGAACGTGCCTTAGCTATGGGAGGTCGGGGTGGAGCTGGGAATCATTGGGGGTAGGGAGGGCTGGAGACCCTCCGTTTGCCAGATCAGGTCCTGTCCAAAGTGCCTCTCACACCTGCCACTGCTTCTCAAAGCAAGCCTCCGCCACAATCCCAGCTGAGCCTGGGATGGGCTACTGCCACTCCATTTCCTTGGGTGTCTCTTCAGACTCTATCTCTCCCAGCAGCCTTAGAGACTGGGTGAGACCCACTGACTTCCTGTAGGGCTCCTGCCTCACTTCGCCCAGTTAAGTGCCTTCACACAGCTCTGGTTTTATGTTTATAACAAAATGGGGACATTTTTCTTTATAAATAAAGGTGGTTTGCACAGAAATTGTCTTCCTTCTCTTTTGTTTCTCTTCTGTTCTGACTCCATAAATGCTCATTGTTCTAATGACTTTTGGCAAACCAGTCTAAAAGTACCCCTCACATATGTCTGCTCTTCTTCACTCCCCTTGACCTTTTTTCAGACTTTGAATTTTTTTTTTTTTTATGTCTCTAAGCATTTTTTTTAAAGCATAGTTGTTTTGTTCTATGTTGTTAGGTGCTGTGAAGTTAATGCCAACTCATGTTTTTGTTGTTAAATGCCGTCACGTTGATTCGACCCACAGCGACTCTATGTACAACAGAACGAAACCCAGACGGGTCCTGCGCCATCCTCAAAATTGCTGCCACACTTGAGCCGATTGTTTGCTGCCATTATACCACCCCATCTCGTTGAGGATCTTCCTCTTTTTCACTGTTTTCCCCACTTTAATAAGCAGGGATTGGTCCCACCTGATAACATGTCCAAAGTCTGAGAAAAGACATCTGGCCATCTTGGTTTCTAAGGAGCATTCTGGCTGTACTTCTTCCAAAACAGATTTGTTTGTTCTTTTGGCAGTCCATGGTACCTTTAATGTCCTTCTCCAACACCATAACTCAAATACATCAATTCTACGGTCTTTCTTATTCATTGTACAACTTTCACATGCATATGAGGCTATTGAAAATACCACGGCCTGGGTCAGGCGCACTTTAGTTCTCCTAAGTGGGTTTCCAAGGCTGTGAATCGTGACTGGAGCAGAAAGCCTCATCTTTCTCCCATGGAGCACTTGGTGGTTTGAACTGCCGACCTTGTGGTTAGTAGTCCAATGCTTATCCCTTGGAGCCACAAGAGCTCCATTTTGTAGTATATGTCTGATAATTTATCTGAAATTTAGGGGCATTTAATCTTGTGGTTTGTTGTGTCTGATAATTCTCATTCACAGTGGATTGTTTTCTCGCGTGTTTTGAAATGGAGTGTTAGCTCATCTTCAAGAGGGCTTTATCTCTGGGAAATCCATGGGAACTTATTGAGGGTAGGGGCCTACACAGTGATTTTTCCTTTCCTTCTCTTCTTCCCACTTTCTTCTATTTCATAAACCTTTCTTTGAGTATTTTTGACAAATCACAATTGTGCATCTCCTTTGTATATTTTTTGGCAAATCATAAAACTACAGCATTATCATTCTCCAAATTTGTGAGGTCCCCAGTCTCTTGGGGCTATTTAATGTGCTTAAAATTAAATACAATTTAAAAATCGGTTCCTCTGACCACTCATCACATTGCAAGTACTCAGTAACCACATGTGGCTTCAGTGGCCGGACATTGCCAATAAAAAAACATTTCCTCCCAGAAATTTAGAACCTTCCAGAATGTGCCCATTCTCTAACAATATACCCCACCACCATCACCACATAAGGGAAGGGTTCTGACTTCTATAGCTATCAGTTGATGTGTGTTTTTTTTTCACATAATTGGCCAATTTTATAAGGCAGCTGATATATAAACATTTTTATTTGCCCTAAAGTAAGTGTTACAGCCAACTCTATTTCCAATGCTTTCCACCAACTCCTTAAGACTCCTACCCACCCACCCTGTAGATGGCAGCCAGTTGAAAACCTAACTTACAGTCAACACTGAAATAGTTTCAGCAAATAAGTACCACAACGTTTGCTGTTGACCAAAAGAACACACAGGTTTCTCATTAAACTTGGTTTTATTGGGGCGGGGGGTGGGGGTGGGGAATCTCAAAATTCTGTGACAAATCTTTGGTCAAGTTGTTTCCCTTTAAAAAGTATTGATTTTTTTTTTAAACTAATAACTTAAAACTGCTACACAAAAAAAGAAACCATCCGTCCACATAACGTTCCTTTCCTTCTGAAGGTTTTACGATGCATTGCTATCATTAACCAGTGTGACTATCAAAATTAAATGGTCAATTGAGACAACAGTTCGAGACCGTTCTTCCACCACTGATGAAGACTGGAGGGGCAGGTGTTAAAGGTCATGTTCTTTGAGCCTTCCGAGCTTTCTGAGCAGACTTGGTGACTTGGCCAGCTCCAGCAGCCTTTTTGTCCACTGCCTTGATGACACCCACAGCAAGTCTGTCTCATGTTACGAACAGGAAAACTACCCAAAGGAGGGTAGTCTGAAAAGCTCTCAACACACATAGGCTTGCTGGGAACCGTGTCAACAATGGCCGCATCACCAGACTGCAAGAATTTGGAACCACCTTCTAGCTCCTTACCAGACTGGCGATCAAGCTTCTCCTTGAGCTCAGCAAACCTGCAAACAATGTGACCTGCGTGATAGTCCAGCACAGGTGATTATCCAGTGCTGATGTGGCCTGGAGGGTTCAGGATGATCACCTGTGCAGGGAAGCCAGCTGCTGCCACCTGTGGGTCACTTTTGCTGTCACCAGCCACATTGCTACAGCAAACATCTTTGACAGAGACGCTCTTTACATTGAAGCCTACATTGTCCCCAGGCAGAGTTTCACTCAAAGCCTCATGGTACATTTCAGCAGATGTTGACTGGAGCAAAGGTGACCATCATGGCTGCTTTGAGTCTCCACTCAAACACCAGCTCTACTCTGCCCACAGGGACAATGCCAATACCACCAATTTTGTAGGCATCCTGGAGAGGCAGACACAGGGCTTTGTCAGTTGGACGAGTTGGTGGCAGGATGCACTTCAGAGCTTCAAGTAATGTGGTTCTACTGGCATCGCCACCCTTAAGGGTGACTTTCCATCCCTTGAACCAAGGCATGTTAGCATATGGCTCCAGCATATTGTCACCATTCCAACCAGAAATTGGCACAAATGTGTCATGGTTGTAGCCAAGTTTCTTAATGTAGGTGTTGATTTCCTTAACAATTTTCTCATCTCTCTTCTGGCTGTAGGGTGGCTCTGTGGAATCCGTTTTATTAACACCAACAATTGACTCTTTCACACCCAGTGTGTAAACCAGAAGGGCACGCTCAGGGGTCTGCTCATTCTTAGAGATAGATACCAGCTTCAAATTCACCAACCCTAGCAGCAGCAGCAATCAAGACAGCACAGTCAGACTGTGAGGTTCCTGTAATCAGGTTTTTGATAAAGTCTCTGTGTCCTGGGGCATCAATGATGATCACATAGCACTTGCTGGTCAAATGTCCAAAGGGAACTATCAATGGTGAGGCCTCGCTCTCCGTCAGCTTTCAGTTGATCCAAGACCCAGGCATACTTGAAGGAGCCCTTCCCCAATTCAGCAGCTTCCTTCTCAAAATTTTCGATGGTTCTTTTGTTGATTCCGCTACATTTGTAGATCAGGTGACTAGCTGTTGACTCACTAGAATCGACGTGTCTAGTAATGATGTTGTTGAGTTGATATGGGTCTTTTCCTTTCCCATTTTAACTTAGGTTTTGCCATGATTTTCACCAACACCTGTATTCTGGCAGCAAACCCTTTGCAGGGGGTAGAGGGAAAGCCATCAATTAGTTTTTATGAATATGTCTTTGAAATAAAGAATACTAAATAAAAGGAAAATGGGGATATACCCAAAAAAGCTATAATGTGCAATGGAGTGATGCTATGGGTTATGTTCCTGGGAGCATTAACAACAACCCTTCCCTGTCTGCTCACCAAAAGTCATCTCCCTTTCAATAGCTCAAGTGGTTTCTTCTTCTTTCTTTCTTTTTTTTTTTTTTTTTAATGTTTTA